TGGCGCGAATAAAAAATCGCATGCAAATGCAGTTTACAGCTTTCGAAAAAGATCTTTACCTTTAATTTGTTTTTATTGAGCGTTGTACGATTTTTTTTCACCGAGTTATTCAACATTAAAGCAAAAATGGTCCTTTTTGCTTCAATGTTGAATAATTCGGTGAAAAAAAATTGTACAACGCTCAACAAAAAAGTAAATTGAAGATAAAGATTCATTCTTTCGAACGCAGTAAACTGCATTTGTGTGCGATTTTTAATTTACGCCATGGAACTTCGTAAAGTTTGCAAAAATTTTTAAGATTTGACGCGTCTCCATTTACATTTGTGCACCTTCGTCAACACGTCAGTAAATTGTTTTTTAAAGTGTCGATTTAAAAAGTAGAGATTTCAGCTGTAAAATGCTTTTTGAAAAATCTCTTTACAATCATTTTTCACGAAGTTACACTTTCTTGAATTTTGCCTAACGGGAAAACAAATCTTTTTTGTGCAAATTTCTTTCATTCTACCGTAAAACAAACATTCTTAAAAAGATATGTTTTTAATCATTACGCTATAATTTTTTCTCATTGAGTTAAAATTAATGACAATTTTTAAGTGAATATTTTATTTTCACGGTGAAAAAAATCGTATAACGCTCAACAAAAACGCAAATTAAAGGTAAGGATTCACTCTTTCAAAAGCTGTAAACTGCATTTGCATGCGATTTTTAATTCGCGCCATGGAACTTGTCAAAGTTCGTAAAAAATTTTTAGATTCGTCGGGTTTCCTTTTCTATCCATGTAATTCCATGAATGATCAGTAGGATCGTTTTCTGAGTACCGATTTGGAAAGTAGAGATTTCAAGCTGTAAAAAGCTTTTTTGATCATTTCGATACAATCATTTTTAATTTTGAAATTTACACTCTCTTGAATTTTGCCTATTTTTGGAGGATAATTGTACCCTCCAAAGTCTCAGTAAGTGATGCTTTAATTTTGTTGAGAAGTGTTCAGGAATGATAGGTCTGAAGGTTATTAAAGAAGGCACGGCTATTTTTTGCAAAAGGAATTTAGACCCTTTCCTGTGTAATATTCTACTCTTCAACCCTAAAGGTATTGAACTTACATCTCTATTGCTGCTCCGAGTATCTCATCAAGCAGAATCATTGTGGTCTCACTTTATAGATCTCCGGATGCCCAAATTTCCAAGGAGGACTGAGATTTTGTTTTCCGCGATTTTGAATTCCTCTCCTTCTGCAGTTTGCATTATTTGTGGGGATTTCAACGCCCAGCATGTTTCCTGGGGCTCTTCCAGAGATACTTCGGCGGAGATCTCTCTTAGTAATTCTATTGAAAAGCTTTCTCTTTTCTTCTTAAACAATG